CGACGAAGTGCTGGACTCAAGATAGACTGTTGAAGTATTTGACGCCGCAGATAGGGTCACCTTTGGAGGGATTGTGCACTGCGTCCGGAAATTATGGACCAAGTAAATATTTGCATATTTGCATATATATATATGTGTATATATCGCGTTCATCGTCTCCCAAAGAAGAGGAATAAGAAGAGGGGGCAGGTTCGTGGCCCCCTCTTCTTCTTCCTCTTCTTTGGGAGACGATGAACGTGATAACATATCTGGACCCCGAATCTTTAGGCATATTAATATGTACATATATTTGGAGGATGAGTAGACAGCGTGGACAGATTGGAAGGACTTGGCATTGACAGCGTTCGTCCATTCAATTTGGGACTTGCGAGCGGCCCTTTTCGCCTCGGCGGCAACGATCCGACTAGTTTCGTAGGTAGCTATGCCAGTTTTTACCGTTCTTCGCCAAGCAGATCGGTCCTGTGCGATTTCCCCTCAGGTCGTGTTGATTTGAAGACGCCTCAGGAAGTTCTTGTCTTTGTAGCGCCTCTTGTTTTTCCTCCTTTGCGGCGAGAACCCACAGCGACATCACCGTAAAGCAGTCGCTTGGGCAGTTGTTATTCGTCGATCCAAAGCAGTTGACCGCACCAGTGCAGTTGTATCTGCCTCAACATGGCCTGGATGCTTAGTATTCTCCTTCTCTCCAGGACTTCCATTTCCGGGATCCTGCCCTGCCATCTCAAATTCAGTTTTTGGCAGAGACAGCTGAGATGGAAATGGTTCAGCTTCTGAGCTTGTTTGGCGTAGACGGCCCAAGTCTTCGCGCCGTCTAAGAGTGTCGTGGGGACAACGGCCTTGTAAGTCTTCAGTTTTATGGAAAACTGGTGGCCATGACGGTTCCGCGTGGTGGCTTGGGGCCAACCGAAGGCATAGCTGTCTCTGGAGATGCGGCGAGCAACCTCGTCGTCGATTCTAGTGTTACGGGATAGTGTGCTGCCATGATAAGCGAAGTTGTCCACGGTTTGAGCTCGGCGCCGTTGACGTTAATACATAAAGCATTGTAATCAGCGCCGGGCGGCGGTTGATAGATGACCATTCTTTTATTCCTGTTGATGGTATGCTCGAAGCTTTCGCAACCGGCGACGAAGAGTTCCATAGTCCTTTGCATGTTCGCTTTTGTTATATGTTGATAGTGCAGTCGTCCGCGAATAACAGGTCATGAAGGGTGGTCGCGGAGACGCGCGTCGGGGACTGCATACGTCGGATGGTGAGAAGGTGCCCGTCTATTCTAGAGTTGATACGGATCCCGGTCCGCTCTTCACGCAAGGCATCTATCAGCATGGCAGAGGACATGAGACTGAAGAAAGTAGGCGCAAGGACATACCTCTGCTTCATTTCATTAGTCACTGCGAAGGCTTTGGAGACCGTCACGTTGTCCGTACGCCATCATCCCGTCGTGGAGCTATCGTACCATGTGTGTGAAGTGCTCAGGACAGCCGAAGTTCTATATGAGTTTCCATAGTCCAACGTGATTCACCGTGTCGAATGCCTTCATCAGATCCAAGA